ATAACATATTTATCTGGTTTTCAGACTGTCTCTCTGAGGCAGATTAACTTACTTGGTCACATTCAGACTCTCCAGAAAATGCTCTGTTAATGTTTCACATTTCTTGAAATGATGGTATGTAATAGTGAGAAGTAGCAAGTGGAGGCTGAAGAAACCTTCCGAGAGCAGCCGGACCTGCTGCATTTCTAGTTAACCTGTGTAAGGTAAGAGGATGGACTTTGCTTAATGTCTTTCTGAGGCTCTTAAGAAAGCCTTTGGCTCCTAGGATGCCTGTGGTGCACTGTGCACCACAGTATTGGTGTGACTTCATGTAGATCCATATGATGAGGGGACTCAGTAGCCCTCTTTATGCAGCCAGGTGCTGTTTGGTTTGTAATGCTATGGGGAAGTTCTTCTGTTTTACAAGGAGGAATACGTAGATAGAGTGACATCCACACTTTGTCGGGCTTTGGCATCTGAGCCTCCACCAGCGTGACACCCTCCTCACTGCACCTTTCAGACTTCAGCACGGCGAAGGATGACCACAGATCCCCTGAGGCTGGGCAGTCCAACAGTAGGGGGGCAGTGGAGCAACCCTCTCTGTTCCTGGGGTGTGCTAGGGAGATAAGGGGTACAAGGGAGATGTGAAGCTGGTTGTGGAGCCTCAGGTTCCCCGTTAAAATGGATCAGAGTCAAAGTAAAATTAAAGGCCAGAGGAGGGCTCTACAAGCAGTTTCTTCTTCAGCTACTACACGTTTTTTCTGGCAACCCACTCTACTGTGGTCTAGTGAGGCTACAGCTCTAAAGCGTACATAGTTCTGATGTTTCTAGCAGACCCAGCTTCCTAGTATTTGAGCGCAAGCTTTAGCAGTCCGTTCAGGTAGAGCAAACTGAATGCTTTCCTCCAGATTATCTTTCATGTATGTATAAACAGCGTTTGCTGCAAAATGTGTGAACTACGGAGCTCAGAGTCACAGCCTGCAGCACAGCAAACTGGCTTTTCCTGGAGCTCATAATGTGATAATTAAATTGCTAACAGGCACCTTAGTGATGGCATTTGCTGGAGATGTGAAAGCCTTCTTACAATCATACCTTTCTGTAGGGGACTCATCAGTAGAAGCAGAGCTATCAGAATCAGGGTTTTTTTTATATATTTTCCTCAATGAGTACATTAAATTTTTATGTGGAGTGAAATGGGACAGGACGTGTTTCCCTTCCACTGCACAATGATTTATTACCCCAAAAAGACCGCAGAACTAATTAGCAGAGTAATTAATTAATATAAATTTGCATATTTGCATTTGCAATTAGTGCAGCCGACTGATTAGTCTGAAAATGGGAAGTTTGACTCATTAGATGTTAGTGTCTGCTGGACCGGAAAGCGGCTGCCAGATGAGGCGAAAAAGCATAGAATAAGCATGAGCGTGTGCGCGCGCGCAATCTCATCATGTCTTTTGTTACAAGAATGGAGTGCAAATATGTTGTCTAAGATATTAAGACTGCTATTTTTTATTTTTTATTTTATTTTTTTTTACAATCACCTTTTCAGCTGTTTTCCCCCTTAATTTGTTTCCTGCAATGAGCCTCTGCAACCATGAAACCCGCTGATGCTTCTGAACAGTCAAATCTTTAAGGGAGGGTAACTGCTGCAGATATTCTGATTTAGGTGCTGAAGGGGAGCTGTAAGGAGCCTCCTTGCCATGTGATAGATGGGACAGGGACATTTACCCTCTTCCTAGTTATATCGTCTAACCAATTGCTAACAGTGAGAGGTCAAACTCAGCAGAGCCCATAAAAACCTGATTAGTTTTCCAGGTTGCCGTGCTGTCGTCTTTTCCTCCTTGGGCACTCCTGTGGGTGTGCCTTTCTGCATACAGCTAAACAGTCCTTTTCTCTGCATACCTGAGCTTGGTATACATGGACATCCATTACTGCAAATTTTAGTGAGGTTTAAGAGAACATTGAAAAAAGACGTCTCTGTCCATTGGGTAATATATCTGGATGTCAGAGTACCTGTAAGCTGATTGCTAGTGCTCCTCTCAGGGTGCCAGAGCAAGGCTGGTTTTCATGGGGGTCAGTGGAGGAAGTCCTGGTACCTCTCTGGGCTACTTTGTATTGCTCTCCACTACAGCTGGAGGAAATCTGCAGTCCTCTCCCAGTGAGTTAGATCATCTCCTTTTCAAAGTTCTGTGACTGGGAATGGGGTTGAGCAGAGGGTGGCCCTAAAACAGTCCTTTGAAAGCTCACTGGGTCCTTGTTCAAACTCTTTGATCAGATTTTAGCCCTTGATGCCACTTTGACAGTTGTGTGGGTGTTCTGGAAGACTCAAATAGGTATTGCCTGTTACTTGCCATCTCTGTGCATTTAGAGCATGGTGGTGTTTTAGACTTAGAGCAGCTTCCTCTAGCTCCTCTGCTGTAACACAGCAAGTCACTTTGCTCCTCCTCCTTTTCTGACCTCTTTGTTTTTGCTATTGAGCTTAAAGATTTAGAGCCACAGAATAGATGCAGTCATACTTTCCATAAAGTATATTTCTATTCTGTCCAAGGAAGGAGTTAATGTACACTTTGCAGGTATAAACTCTGTCCCTTCTGGTGTACCTTCATCAGTTTGCAAAATCTAAGTGTAAACTGGGCCAAAGTTGACAAGATTGTCTTATAAACTTGAATCCAGTATTTTTTTGTGAGATTTACAGGTTTTGATTAGCTCCCAAGATGCCCCTGGCACACTAGATGTATGCAAGATGATTCAAAACATAATTGTCCCTATGAATTGAGGCAACCCCTATTTTTCCTTTATGCACTCACACCCAGATACAATAATTTGATACAATAATTTATTACAATGTCTTTGTGGTGATTACAACCAAAATTATTTTTTTTCCTCCTCTACCAATCAGTAAATTTTAATTCTATATTTACTACAAAACATTAATAAATTTCATCGGTATTTGACAATACATACAAGATGAGCAAATATTGTTTTGCATTAATATTATTTCTTACTGCTATTGGTTTCAATTATGAAATCCAGTAATAGTAAGAAAGAATTTGTGAATAAACATTTGATGAAGAAAGAACTAATATGGGCAAACAACACTACCTGAAAGAATCTCCAAACGTGTTCAGGACCTATAGAGACAAATTGGCTCCCACTGCTGTTTTCAGTGCTTCATTCCCACAAAGTTCTCTATATGCACCCTTTAGCAGATAAAAATCTTTAAAAATCTAGCCCTATAGGCAGGTGAGAATGATTTTGGACACAGATACATGTATGTCTATGAGACAGCCCTGTCCTGAGATCCATGTCACTATGTTATATGGGTGTTCACCCTGATGTTGAACATGCTGGTTGCTGGAAAGGTGTATTATTGGGGCTCAGCATCACAGGTACACAGCGCTCCTCATGGTGAATTAGGATTTCTTGATGCCCTGTCAGCCTGAAGTGCAGACAGATGCACAGCTCTACATGTCTGTGAGCTCCCAAGTCACTGAGCTGCTCTTTGCTTTAATTTACAAACAGCTGTGAATTTGCTTTTGGATCGAGATGGAAATACCATCTTCCCATATTTGCAGCTTTGTGTTCTGACATTGTCTCTAATTCTGACTGTCAAAACAGTACTAAAAGGAAATAATGCTCTGGCCATTTAGGGAGGTCCTTTCGCCCCTCGCTGCCCCCAAATGCTGACTCAACAACTGAGAAGCTGTTCACCTTCCTAAACTCTCCCTTGCAAAATAGTAAAACATTCTGGTTTTATGAGGTCCAAATGTTTCATTTCAGCTTTATTGAAGAGTTGCATTTTGATAAGGCTGTTTGATTCCAACCACAAAGTAAACCGTTTTGTAGAAGCATGACGCATAAGCAAACAGAAAAGTACAGGGTGTACGGTGCTGGCAGTTGGAGAGCACCCCCAAAGAGACTCAAGCAGCAGCAGTGAGACAGCACTCTTCTTGGCTACTGTACAGTACAAAGAGAAGGATCACAATGCAGCTAGCTTCCTAGGCCTCATTAGCTGCATAGGGCCAAAGGAAAACCTGTGACATTCAAAACTGATAACTGCGGAAAAACCAATCTGTATTCATGAGACGGAAGATGGGCAAAAGCCAGCTTCCATTTGGACTCTAACATTGCCTGCATCAGTAGGTCTAAAGAAATACAGAGGTCTTCCACCCCAAATGTTGGAGGAATACAGATTGAATATAGCTGCAAAGGGAAAGGTCAGTCTGTCTCTTTCTATGTGGTTAAAATGCTGGTAAATCAGTCCTGAAACAGAGAATGGTTTTGCTTGCTACCTGTGCAATCCATTTCATAGCAGAGGCAATTAAAATGGTATTTTTCTAACAGCTAAAGTTTTGTTTGTTTTTTGCCTGGAAACATAGGCTAAATCCTGGAAACTGCAAAAATAAGTAGCCCCCCAAGGTTCTGGTACCAACAGCTCAGGTATTTCAGCAGCCAATTCTGCAAGTGAGGTGCAAAGACATAAAGGAACCCCAATGCCTGACACAAGAGTATGATTTAAAGTATCCCGACCTCCAAAATGGGTACAATGAGAAAGAAAATAAACTTTCAGATACCTACAGATCACTTCAAAAAAGCAACTCAATTTTTCAGGGAGGCTGTAGGCTTCCTGTACTATAGGCTATTATTTACTGGGACTCTGCAGCATATTCTGAGCTGCGTGAGGCAGGTGAGACTGAAAGAAGAGATGAGCAGCCACAACATTTGGTAGGAAACACCTGCTGGCCTGTTATCAGCACAAGAGATTTCCTGGGAAAAGGGTGCACGATGCATGAATGTTGACAGGAGGTGAAAACATACATGACAACTTAGAGGTATGCGACCGAGACAAGAGGGAATACTGCCACTCAGCCAAAATTCGGGAAGCATAAACTAAACCTGGATCATAGCAGAATGTAAATCACTGCATAGCAAATGAAGGATTCAGGCACCATGAATGAAGTGAATGCCATAAAACAACCTCCACTAAGAAACTGGAAGCCTTGTTTTGGGTAACTACTTACCAATTAATAATGGGTACCAAGATCAGCAGAAGTCACAGGCCTTCCATAACAGCTGGGATGGGGCAGCGATCTGGAACATGAAGAACGGTGTTGTCTTGGGAAAGAAACAAAATACTTTATGAAAACAAGGGAAGTCCCATCACAAGGAAGTGCTTAACAAGCAGCAGTTGGAAAAGCACTAGCGCAAGAAAAAGCTCCACAGTGAAAGGGTCGAGAGTCAGATGTCAACACAGCAAAATGATGTTCAGATGGGAAAAAAAACGGATTATTGCTGTTGTCCCCTAATATCAGGAGCTTAGTCAGCACATATATAAGTGTGCTTTTATTACTGAAAGAGATCACAGGTCCCTGGAGCACATTCTTGACAAACCTTGAGCATCTGCATGACCAAGACTTCATTGCAGCACTTTTAAGCTGTGAGGGTGCTCCTTGAAAGCACAATACAAGCCCAGAAGAAGAATTCCTTTAGGAATTTTTTCTTGACTGCTGTTGTGTCAGGCAGCATGTTGCAAAAGGGGTGGAAGAATTAAAGGAGCGGATGTGTCTGCTGCAGCAGCACTTACCAGGAGAGAAACAGAAAGTGACAATGTAATCGGTCCTTTGAAGGAAGGGATTATGTCAAGAGGGTCTGTACATCAGTAAGTTCCTCTTGCTCTGGAGAGAAAATGAAGTGAATTGCACAAAGCGTAGCAAGCTGAGTCCAAAGAAGCCATGGTCAGAGCCAGAAATAATATTCCTAGCAGACACCTTCATATAGCACTATCCAAAATATGGTATGGAGACACATCCTCCCACTTCATCATTTGTGTACCAACAGCTCCATGCTAACACACAAAATCCTGGGCTTGCTCCACATGGCAGGGCTGTAGCTGCAGGGGCCCTTTGGGTGTGCATGTTGGACCTAGAAAAATGAGGCAGCAGCTGGTCGCCTCTGACATGGAGGAAAAGCTGTCTGATGGTGAGTGAAGACAACTGAATTCTTTTCAGGCCTCTTCAAGAAAAGCCAGTCACCGTGTTACCACAAAGTAACCCCAGAAAGCAGGGAAGAAATTTTGCTGGAAGACTCTTGAAGATTTTAGAGGCTGGGTTTCTCATGGTTCGCATGCCACGCTGTCCCAGGGGGGGCTAGTCCAGGTGACTGGAGAGGAGCCAGACCATTTCCTCAGACAGCTGAGTGACTTCAACATACCTGATGATGTTTTCCCCTGCCTCCAGCTATGAAGGTGTTGCCCATTTCACTGCTCAGCGCTGGAAAGCTCAGCAAATTAATACAACTTTCTGGCCAGAGGAAGGAGGAAATCCTACTATGACTAAAGGCTATAAGACTGAAGAAAACATCTTTTATGCCAGCAGAAAACCCTATTGGATGGTATTACGCTCATGTGGTAGTCACCCAGGTGAAATGCAAAGCATTCAGTTAGAAAAAGTAGTTATCGAAGTGAAGCTGCAGGCTCCTGGGAATTGCTAGTATTAGTGCAACTGTTTCTGATAATGAAAACTCAGGCCGCAATGCAGAAATTGTGAGTGAGATTACTAGCAGCAAACACAAAACCACAGCAAGAAGGGGAAAGGAAGAACACAATATAACCCCTGTAATCATGGTCAGTCAATGACACCACCAGTATGAGTTCAGCTACCTGGCTTTCTGAGCTGCCAACTATAACCTCATCTTCCAAGGTATCTTCCATACTCAGTGAAGAGAAACTTCTAGAGGGATGAGCACTTGCAGTAGGGTCCTGGACTATGTTTTTCTCTGACGGTGCCTGTTTCCCATTTCTCACCATTGGAATGACCTGGGGATTTCAGCTCTGTGGTGGGTGCTCTGAGGAAGCTGCCTCATGGTTTGTGTTCCCATAACTCTTCTTACCTTGTCTTTGCATTCAGAAAGTAATACTTGCTACAGACACTGAAAGAGTTTCCAACTCCAACTGTTCTGAAGCAACAATGTCATTAAACTTCCTTGACTTCCTGATTGGGAATACTTTGTGTCTATCCCTAGTGAGATGTTTGATGTCCCTTGTAACAGAGGGATAGGCTCCTTGCTTATGGGTGCCTAGAGCAGTTGCAGAGAGCAAGGGATCTGCTTGTGAAGAGATTTACTAAATCAGACCTTCCTGTTTTCTTCTGTCTAGTCTAAAATCTTCATGGTGGGGAATGGCCTGAACACAGGCAATGTCAGTGAGACAAAAGAGGCAAAGCTGAAACAACCGTAATTGGTGGTCATTGTGCAGCATTCTGCCGAAAACCCCATTATCATGAAGCCAAGACAGAGTGCTCTGCAGGCCTTGCAGGTCTCTTGGCCTGAGCACTTCTAAAGAGATTAATCAAAATGTCTTACTTACACAACCAGGTGTCTTCCTCACCCCAGGGAGAAACCTTCCAGTGGCAAGCCTTGTGGAGGGGCCAAGGGAAAGCTAATTAAAGATTGAGACTACAGGGTTCAGCCTTTGACCAGAAGGCTGCACACAGTTCCCCAGCAACAGCAGCCTTAACCAGGGGACTTCCAGCAAAGGGAAAACCCCTAGAAATTTCCTTTCAACCACAGCAACAAGCACAGCCGTGGTTCACGGAGAAGGCAGGCATTTGAATGCAAAGACAGGCTCACAGAGAAGAACACAAGTAGTCAAAGCTCATGTGTTCTGTTCAGGTATTATGCAATAAACTTCCACCTCTCTTTCTCTCGTAATAATGTCTCATTCTCATGCATATGCAGGACAGCCTTGTGGTTTCCCTCCTGATCTACCACTTGCTGATGAGATGTGGTATATGGAATCCCCATGGGGAGAGACCATGACAAAAAGGAGAGGTGGGGTGTCATTTCAAGGAGCTCAAGCTGGAAGTACACTTTCTCTCAGGGCCACACCAGCATGTTTTAACATGCCTGCCGTAGCTGAGCATGCCAGAGCTGCATCTCCCATGTGTGGGTGGCATATGCAGGGTATAAAAAGCTTGAGGGGTCCAGAAATACTGGTAGTGGCAGAAAGAGGCTTTCTATCACAAGGTTTGCAACTTCATCCAAATTGTACTGTGAGCTTGGCAAAAAGGGTTTCAGAGAACCATCTGGTGGTGGTTTGGCATCCTGTGGGAGCTGAGTTCCTAGTTAGTGGAATATCTGGCCAAACAACAATATAATTATGGCTACTATTGGCTTTAAAGGTCTTCTTTTGTGGTTGCTTCAGCACAGATGTTTAGATTGGAACAAGAATGGAGGTTGAACTGTCTTCCCCTTGTTGATGATGGCTGCGGGTGAGAAAAGATTTGTGGTGGTTTAGATAGGAAGTTATATGAAACATGAATCTCCACACAGCATTTCGATGGTTAAGCTTTTGACTTTCAGCCTCCAGAACCTGTCACTCTCACCTTTCTCATGAAAGTCATGAGATATCAGGCCAAATATGGCTCAACACATATTTTCCTTCTTGCTTTGTACATCATGTTGCCTATAATACATGTGATTAAAGCAGCAGTGCTAGAGAGTGCAGCATTAGAAATGATACTGTAGGTCTTTATACAGATATCTAATTTCAGCAGTGATAGCACGGGAGAGTTTGAAAGACATACAGTGCATCTTTTCCTCATGCCTCTTTCTTCTAATAGAGAAGTGATGAGGAACCATTATATCCCACTGGTAAAATAAATTACTAAGTCTTCCATTACTCTTCTTCCTATGTGTTACCCCTGTAGTGGCTGCAAATATTCACAGTCAACAGTTCCTGTGCTGTGGAAGGAAAAAAAGTTGCTTTAAAATAGCACAACTCAGAATGTAACACAGCCACCCTATCTGACCGTTATGTTAGAAGGATGAAGTAAGCTTCACAGACACCTCACACCATCCAAATTATGGCAACATTTGTATCTGCAGTTCTATTGCTGAAGTTTTTCATATCATAATCTACAGTTAGAAATAGGGAACTCTTTTGGAAATGCTTCATTTGGCCTAAACATTGTCAAACTAAGTCTCAGTGTGATAGAAAGAGCTAGATGGGATAAGGGTGTTTTTATAAAGAGGATGAGAAATGTCATGTCAGAGTGACAACAGCATTTGATTCTCTAGTTCCCTTCCTCCCACGTTGGGATGTAGTAGTAATATAAAGTCTGAGGGTGTGAGCAGCCCATATTGCTGGTCATTGAAAACTACAAGGCCTTGAATAATTTAGTTCTAAATGTTACTTAATAAAATATGTGTTTGCAAAATGATTTAGAAAATCGCCTTTCTATCCTGGCTTCAGTTCTTCATTGCAGTAGGACCATCCCCTCATTCATGTGTTGTTTTTTTTTTTCAAAGCAATTGAAAAAAAGGTGGTCTTGAATATAAACACACAAGTATTGTCCCAATGGAGAGCTTGTAGTTTCTGACAGGGAAGCAGTGAGAATCACAGGTTCTTGCCAGGATGCAAAAACTTCTTCTTGAGACAGGTCTAATAGAGAAGGATTCACAGCATGGACGTGCAATTTCAACATCCCAAGTCCAACTTTCAAGAGCAGCAGGAATATAGAAACCTAAGACCCACAGACTTCTAAGAAGTGAGAGGTGAGGTTTTACTAATAAGATGTAGTGGTTTGGGGTTTTTTTTCTCTGTCTAGGTAGAAAATTATGCAAGAAGACCCCTCATTAGATTTAAAAAAAATGTCCGAGGGCTCTTTTGAGGTGAGCTATTATGGCCCAAATACTAGAAAGGGATAAGCTGTTTGAAGACTCCAGATCTGAGCTCTGCATAAAATCAGTTGAGAGCAGGAGCAACCATGCCTGTGCTGCCCATCCAGAGAGGATGATCAGAACGTGATTCTCTGCAATTAGCTGTGTTTCACTTTAGTAAAAGGCCAAAAGAATTAGATCTTTTTGGGAGTGAGCAGAAGAGGCAGGAGAACAACACACAAATTGGGACATAGGTGACAAAATAGGTGATGATTAAAGGGAAAAAGGAAAAGATCATCTTCCTCAGAATTTATCCCAGTTGCATGGCTGTTTCCTTGTAAATGTTTGTGGTAGAGTCAGGTCTTCCAGAGTTGTCTGAACATAGTGAAAGTTTTAACTCAAGGGACAATCTTGCAGAATTCCACATGGTATATAGTATAGAAGAATTGCTGGAAATGTCTGTTGGACAGTAAATAAAAACTAGCAATTTAATATATATATTGAAAGTGAATATCTCAGAACATACCCGGGGTCTTTTTCTTAGTTTAGTGACATTAGTAAACGACACCTTGAGTAATGATTGTGATTACCTTGTGCAAAATCTTTGTTCTGGAAAATAGATGGGACACACTGCACTTGTGAATATGTTCCTGCTACACCCATTTCTGATGACAGGATATAAGAGAACTGCAAAATCATTCTAGTGAGTATTAACTCACTATTAGATTTATATAACTATATTTGCACATGCAAAGTATCTTCATTGTATGGCAAAGAGCATGGAATTCCTATGGATATTAACTATTTATTCCAACACATTAGTAGAATGTGAGTCTTGATTTTATAAATATGAATATAAACTCCAGAAACCTGAATCTTATAATTAGATTTATTTAGACAGGAAGAAGAAATCTGAATATTGTCTAGAAAATCATTGCTCTGGATGGTATGACAGCCTCCACTGTAATCAGCCTAGTCAAGTATACTGTAGACATAGCTGTTTCCCCTCACACTCTCAGTCAAATCACATGTTTTGATGCAAATTCTGTTCCCATAGACATGTTTATAATACCTATCTGAAGAGTGTCTAGGAGAGTCTTCTTGTAACTACTAGAGGCTCTGTCTTTATGCAAGCCTCCACAAAGTGCAATCTGTCTTACACTACAGATGGACCAAACCTACTGCACAGGCAGTGTGGGAAGTCCAGACTTGCTCACCACTCAAGCTTTATGCACCTTTATAAAATAGGCTTTTTCCTTCATATATTTGTGTGGCTGTGAGAGGCTTTCTGCTAGGGTGTATGGACAGTTTACATGTCTGATGGTGCCTGATGACAAAAGTCACTTATATTCTGTAACACATAGGGTATGTGATGTACTATGTAGCACATGAACAGAGCAGAGGAGTCCAGGGTCTAAGTTGCTAACAGTGAAGTTGGCTTCAAAATTTATTTGCAGATCTTGTCCATTTTATTTGTGGTCTTGCTTCTGAGGCTAATGTAATCATTTAAATCCTGAAGCTGAGCTTTCAGAGACAAACATCAAATATTGTGAAACTTGATGAAACCATGAGTTCTGGCAAAACCACCTTTAAGCTGGCTGGTTTTATGTTAATACACCTACAACGTTTCTATACACCATTATTTAGAAACCCTACCATCAAAAAGGTATATACTAACATCTTCCCTGTTTTCTATTTTAGTTCACATTTGACTTTAAAAAGGCATAGTGCAATAAGTGTTACCTGAAGGTCAGAGTCTGAATTCCTGGCTCACATTGAAGAACACCTTGCTCCACCAACAATATCAGAAGAGTCAGGTTTTAGGTGGAGAAAGCTACTAAATCAGTGTGAGGGAACGAGAATTAATTGTCCACCAGGTTAATATACTTCAGAACTTGAAGACCAGTTCACGCTGCCAAAACTGAATGGTTTAATTTTTCAGTTTCTTGGCAGGGATTTGGTGATTTCCCGTATGCCCAAAGCATGACTTTGAGGCCTAAAGGATTTGAGTAGATGATCCAACAACATCAATGTCAATGACGCGTGAGAGGATCCTAAATTAGCAAGGAAATAAAGGCTGCTTGTGTAGGCTTTTTCCAATGCTAACTCCTGTGGTACTAGGATAATTTTATTCAAGTATCACAGTATGAGAAAAAAAATCTGCCCTGGTAATTGAAACTTTACATCAGGCAATCATTCA